TTTGTCTTATCTATCGTTAGCAGATGTTGGGTGGAGTTTCACGGGGGCATTTAAGAAGATAGGCTCTAAATGGGCTAAAATTAATTTATTTTTGACTATATTTAGAACCATTAGATGTGTGAGATTTTGAAGTGGTGCTGGAAGGCTTTGGACTAAGGGCCTTAGCCTGCTGTGAAGAATCAAACAGTATGCGGACCGTGTTAGGTTATCACCCATGGGTCATCTCTGGCCCATCTACATAACAGGATCCTAGGGAGAAAAACGCCTAAGAAGTAGACGGAAATAGTAGATCTTGAGAGAGATGATTGAGCAACAGCCAATGAAGAAAAGCCTGAAGTGTGGAGTTGATGAAGTCAAAGGAAAAAAAGATTCCAGAAACAGTGGATGCTCATTTGAGTCCACTGCTACATAAAGAATAAATATAAGAAAATCTGAATCGTGTTCACTGGCTTTGATTATTAGTGTCCTGGGCAGAAGCAGTTTCAGGTGTGTCATATTTGAGGAAAAAATGAAGTGACAGTATATGTACCTTATCCTCAAAGAAGCTTGCCAGGAAAGAGAAGCAGCTAGGGAAGATGTGACCCCAGTGAGGGAGTTACTATGAGAAAGAGATGAGCGATTTTGTTTTGGTCTTTCTTTTAATCCTAAGCTAAGAAAAGTGAATTATTGACTAAACAGGTATTATAGTTATTTTATTGCTGTTTAACAAACATTCCTCAAACTTAATGGAATACAACTCATGGATTTTATGCTCATGGACTGCGTGGTGGGACAGCAGCTCAGAAGGGCGCAGTGAGATAGCTTGTCTGTCACATGGTGCTTGGGGTCTCAACTGAGAAACCTCAGTGGGATAGGTTGACTCAAAGTCTGGGGTTGAAACAGCTGGGTTGGAGATTCTATTGCCAAAAGGAGGGACTTGAAAGTTAGGGGGTAAATACCCTATGGCCTTTAAATTATCCCAAAAAGAAGGAATCCATTGAGACTGAAGGTATGAAGTAGGAGCCTGGGAGAGGGTTGGAATTTCAAAATAGCTTCTAAGAGGAGAGAGATTGGTAATCACCCAAGCCAACACATTTCTGGGTAATATTTAAGGCTTAATGAGGTTTTGAATTTGCAGCTGCAATAATCTGCACAGTTGAGTTTTAACCTACATGCTATGCTAGTGGACAGTGGCAGCTAAACAATCTCATAAGATCAGATGGGTCATATTATACCACTGACCATCCTTAGATATGTGTACTCTTCCTAGATGTATTTGTGTCTTGGCAAAGGAAGCAATAGCTAGACCTTAAACAAAGGAATGAAAGGAGGATACTTACCTCAGCAAAATGATGCCTCAGAACATTTCATACCACTTTTGCATGCACCTGCTTGTGCTATTATGTAGGTGTACCAAAAAACAAACAAATACTTTCCCTTATTTGTTTATTTATTTAGAGATGGAGTATCACTCTGTCGCCCAAGCTGGAATGCAGTGGCACAATCTCAGCTCACTGCAGCCTTCACCTCCCGGGTTCAAGTGATTCTCCTGCCTCAGCCTCCCAAGTAGCTGGAATTACAGGTGCCTGCCACCACGCCTGGCTAATTTTTATAGTTTTAGTAGAGATGGGGTTTCACCATGTTGGCCAGGTTGGTCTCAAAATCCTGATCTCAGGTGATCTGCCTGCCTTGGCCTCCCAAAGTGCTGGGATTACAGGCGTGAGCCACCGCACCCAGTCTAATTTTCTCCTTTCTTTAGAAAAAATTATACCTTCATAGCTTTTCTTCATAAGCCAAGTCTGATCTATTGATATTGGCCATCCGAAGTGTTGTGCTGTGAGAAAGCCTAATACCAAGCTTGAGATTTTGGGGAGTGGGAGTCAGGGGCAGGAGGAACAGTTAGAGATGTTTCTCACAGAAGATGAGAGCTGTGGTAGTGGCATTCATACTTATCCTTTTTACCAGCTATTTTTATTTTGTCTCTTCAAAAGAAGATATGAAAGGAATATTAATAATAATTATTAAAACCAGTAATAGTAACAGTGGCAAAGCTCCTTTCATTATCTCATATAGTAAAAACGCAATGTTATGGTTTTGTATTATAACATTACACATTTTTTTGAATGTCTAAAGGGTATCAGACCATATGAGGCATGCAGAAAAAGATTTGGCTATTTACTAAATGTTAAGATCCTACTTGTCTGGAGCCTCATTGTGACAGAGTTTTTAAAAATGCCCCGAAATATGCAGCCCAGGTAGTGAAATGAGAACTTTACTGAAAGGCATTCGCATTTCAAATCAAGATCAAGAGAAAATCCACAAAGAGTATCGCGTGTTTTCTGCACAAAGGAGATCGTTGAATTGTCTGTGCACTTATATACTAACATTTTTAACTACATTAATCATCATTTTTTTTTCTGCTAGTTTATGCTCTCCAAAAGTCAGATGAATAGAATAATTGTACTGACTATTTGATTGTGCTGATTAAGTCAAAACTCTTTACCAACTGTATTTCATTGGCTTTAAGATGTGGGCTTAAAAAGCATTTTAATATTCATTTGCTATTGATAGTATGCCATTGCTTTACTGAAAACATTTTTTTTTCTGGGTGGTCCATACAATAAAATTGCTCCTTACATTCTTGGGCATCAAAGATCCAAAGAAATGCAGCAGGTAAGTCACAGAAAGAAGGAAAATCCAGACATACAATCAATTCATAGAACATGAACTGATTCACTGACATGCTTCATCATAGTTCTACCCCCATGGAATTCCCCCTTATCAATGTCATCTACATTTTAGTTTTCATGTGTAGTATTTATGCCTATTAAGCTTCTTCTGAGTGACAATTCATGATAATTTACCTATATCAAGGCCTGATAGCATTTCAGAAACTTTAACCCTTGTAGCAGAAATTCCTCAGAAGACAAATAAAGTAATTAGTGTGTTTCAATTCCAGTAGCAAGCATATTGTCATACTTTTATTTAAACAGTTACTGAATCATGGAATTTAAAGGCTGAGCCAGGCCATAATATTGTTCCACTGTTTCGAATATAAAACTCAGATTTACAGAAATTTAATGAGTAGATCCTATCCCTCAGTTTATATGACAGAGCCAGACTGTTGTCCAAGAGAACATGAGAATAGGTCATTAATACCATTCCCCTTGGTTTATAGGTCAGGCTGTTATGAAACTACAGAAAGAAATATACAGGATTGAAGAAAAAATTCTCCCTAGCAAAGATGAAGTTTTATCTAATTTGAATCCCAGATAGGAAAGTATGCAGCTGATTATTCACTTAAGAGTAGAAAAATAAATGATCTTAAAATTGGAATGAGGAGAGTCTTTAAAAAATATTTTCTAAGAAATTCAAACTACTTTGCATATTTTAAATCTTCTCTAAGACCACATTATTGGAGAATTTTATGTTGCATTTGGCCATTGGACTATGCCTAATTTCTCTGTTTTTCACATTGGAAAGAATCCTAGTACATGATATCTCTAAAGAATTATATAATTTTGCCGTTGAGCATTTCTTTTTTTTTTTTTTTTCCCCAAAACAGAGTCTTGCTCTGTTGCCTGGGCTGGAGTGCAGTGGCACGATCTCAGCTCATTGCAACTTCTGCCTCTCGGGTTCAAGCAATTCTCCTGCCTCAGCCTCCTAAGTAGCTGGGATAACAGATGCGCACCACCACACCCAGCTAATTTTTGTATTTTTAATAGAGACGGGGTTTCACTTTGTTGGCCAGGCTGGTCTTGAACTCCTGACCTCATGATCTGCCTGCCTGCGTTGGCCTCCCAAAGTGCTGGGATTACAGGCATGAGCCACCGCCCGCGGCTGCTATTGAGCATTTCAGAACTTCTCTTTGTACCATAAAGTTGTCATAGAAAAGAATCTTTGAGATCAGTGATCTTTCAAAGATTGGTATTTGATATTAATAACTCAAGAATGCAGTTTCACAGATTTTCCTTAGGGAGAACACTTCATAAAAATTGAGTTAATAAAATGATAAAATACAATGGCCATAATAGTTTAGACCTCTTACAGACATGCCTTCATTAGTATTCTTGGGAAACAGAGAAAGCATAGCACCTGAGTCCAAATTATATTCTCAAGTCTAAAATATTTGCTGACATAATAAAAGTTTCTACATAAAAATATATTCTTAGTAGAGAATTAAATTACGTCATTTGTAATTCTTACAGCAGGCTAAAGATAGCCGATTTGGTGATCAAAACCACAGGGAAAACTTCCTTCTGAGAATAGAATGTGACTTCAGGCAATAGAGTAGACAGAGGATGCATAGAAACCTGAATGAATATTAGTTATTGTTCCCTGAAAGAGTTGAAATTCCTAAATTGGGCCTTATGTTTTCATCCTTGGTTAAAAAAAAAAAGTATGTGTGTGTGTGTGTGTATATATATATATATATATTTGTGTGTGTGTGTGTATAAATGAATCTGTTGTCATTTTACTCTGCTTAACTATTAGAGATTTTTATATGTATGCTTCTATCTGTTGTTATACACTAATAGTACAGTCATTACATAATCATGATATTTTAATTCTTGATTACAATCCCTTTCCAACTATATAAAAATATGTCTAGTGACACATATTTTAGAAAGTTTTCTTGGAAAAACATCCAGAGATTGTGTTCATCACTATCTATATAAATGAGCTTATACTGAACCTTAAATATGTTTATTCAGCATAACAATCAGAAAAAGAAAAGTTTTTTTAAGAGTATAAAGTTCAGGTGAGTCCATTTGTCTTGGAATTTTATTTTGATTTTAATTAGAAGAAAGACTACCATTAGAATTGTTTTGTAATCTTTATAAATTCTCTGGGCAGTGCCCTCTATCTTTATTAGAAAGACTTCTTATTTTTAACACTTTTATTTGGAAGAAGTTCTACTCATTTGCATCAGTCCATCGTCTACATGTGTGTGTGTGTGTGTGTGTGTGTGTGTGTGTGTGTGTGTGTTTTACAACGTTGACTTTTGAAACTAGAATAGAATCAGGTAAAACATCTCAGATCAGTGTGTCAGTAACTGGCCTGAATCATCGGGCACCATGATGGGGTTGGCCGCCTTCAACGTACTCGGTGTACGTTCTATTTTTTTCTACATAATGTTCAGTACTGTAGTACTAATCACCGAGAAAATTGCATTGACTCTTTTCGACCACCAGGGAAATATTCAGTTCATGGTTCTCCCCTAAAAAAACTAAAAAGCTACTTAGCGCTGGGAACAAATCTGACTTAATGCATTTTCTCAGTGGGCCAAAGAAAGGAGGGCCGATTGTCTGCCTTGACTTTTTAAAGCTCTTCTCTTAATTCACGTATAAACTGAGGAAAACAAATTCTCGGCACTGGCGTGAGAGTTATTTGAGCGTCACAAAATAAAATATTAGTGCCATTATTGTGGCGAATTTCATGTTTCCCAGCGAGCCTTTTGATTCCCGGTTTGGGCTGGCGCTCGAGCTCTCCAACCGGGTATGACTTCGGCCACAAGATGGCACTGACCTGCAAACAAAGAAAACCACAGTGGCACCGACTTTTTCAAGCCTTGGGAAACTGCCCTGCCTTCCCCCTTCCCCGGAGTCAAGGACTGTGGGGATTAGGGTTTCCTTTCCCCTGCGCGGGGCGTCTGTGTCGAATAATGTGTGGCTTCTGTTGGATTGCTTTTCTTTCCAAAATTCCTAGGCAGTGCTTCCCCAAGGTGTGCACCTTTGTGAGGTATTTGTGGGGCGGGGGGAGCTTCAGGCGCTACTCGCGGGACGCCGTCACGTGATCCGGGATGAGGTGGAGTTCGGCTTTAAGGGGGCGTCTCTTCCTAGCTTCGGCAATCTTTAGGATCTGAGCAGGAGAGATACCAGCGGATCTTCCCCTCTCTGCTCCCTTCCATTCCCACCCTTCCTTCTTCAATAAGCAGGAGCGAACAACACAAATTCCAAAGAGGGTAAGTTGCGAGTTTATGCCTTTCCAGAGACTTTTGCGAAATCTCTCATTGACAAGGTGAAGGATGAGCGGGGAAGAAAAACGACACCAGTGTCCGAAACTGGCTCTGGGGGACCGAGGTGTGGTCTCCAGTGCAAGCAGGTCGCAGGTTGCTCCAAATCACCGGACCGTTCGCGGGCTCCTGCTGAAGGGTATGGGGTCGACGCGGGTGAAAGGAGAGGGTCCCCTACGCGGAGTTCGGGCTTTCCCACCACCTGCTCCCGGGGAATTTCTGGATGGGGATCCAAGTTTTCCTCTACCCAGGTTCTCTTTAAAAGGTCAAGGCACTGGGAAGGTGCCCGAGTTCGTCTATCCCGCACCCGCTCATCTTCCGTATGTGTCTTGGACTGACTGGAGGCGCTGGCTCTAGCCGCACCGGAGTTTTCGCGGAGTAACTGGCTGGGATGAGCCGGGGAAGGGTGGGCTTGGTGCGTCGCCCGCCGTCGCCCGGGTCCCGCGGCAGGCGTCGGGCTGGGAGCGGACGGAGGTGGGAGGAGCCCTCGGCGCGGACCCCAGAGCGCAAGCCCACCCCCACTTGCGGATTCCGCGCGTCTGGGCTGCAGTGGAGCCGCGCTCCCCAATACTGAGCGCTTCGAGTGTGGAGCTGCGCCCCGGTGGACACCCGAAGATTTTAATCATCGGAGTTCTAATCGGGGAACTCGTTAGCTCTTTCTTTTAGAAAAGTAATGATGGAACATGGCTGGGTTAGGAGATTGGGAATGCACAGGAGGTGGAGGTGACTTGATAGGGTGTGCCATTGGTTCCCAGGTAGACTGGAGAGATGCGAATGTTTTAAGGTCTGATACTGGGCCAAAGACAGAATTGAGTAGGGTTTGGGATCTGCTTGTTTTTGGTTGTTTGTATCTTTTCTCTTTTGCCAGTCTCTTATCACTAGTAGAAAGGTTTCCTGATGAGAGAGAGAGAGAGAGAGAGAGAGAAAGAGAGAGAGAGAGAGAGTAGTAGGGAGTCAGGAATGGAGTAAATTTCGGGCGATTCACCTAGTTACACAATATGAAAAAGGTGGGTGGGTAAGCGTGCCAACAGGAATTTTGACTGAACATGTCCCATTTCCCATTTCGTTGTTTGATAACTTCTGGAGCACAGGAAAAACCTAGAGGAGAGGAGCAGAAGAGAGTGTTTCCATGTACACACACTAACACACACACACACATATTAGAGCACGCATTGCTTCCCACACTCCCCATCCTATAAGAGGGCATGACTGGCGGGATGGCACACACAGGCAGGGGACATGTGGAGCTTGTCTGTCAGGTCTGCAACAGAAAAGCAGTAGCTGTTAGTCCTCGACCCTGGGCAGGCTCTCTGGCGAAGCAAGCGAGGCAGCGGGAAGCTAACCCGACCCGGTTCCCCACCCAGGACTAAAAACTGAGTGCTCTTGGGTGACTACTACTTTATTAGTCTTTATTGTCTTCAGGCAGCAGTCTGTTGAACAAGCCCTCCCCAGCAAGGAAGGAGCAGAGAATTATGTAACTCATTTAGATAAGCTACCAGTAACTTTGGGAGGCTGTATGTCACAAGGCTGACATTTCTTTTCCAACACAAGTGAGGTGAACAGCCAATCCTGAGTATTTCAAAAAATTTGTCTGCAGCAGGTTATGATCAGGGAGCTGTATTTTCAAGTAGTAACAGCCCTGCGAAGAGCAAGCAATGAAAGGCCAGCATTCTAATTGGAAAGAAAGAAGAGGAAATTTCCCTCTGCAGGGGGCTAATTTGCCAATTGGTGATGTATGTAATGTCTCTGTTTTGTCTCTATATGCACATGGCAGCTACACTGAGACTTAACAGTCTTTAATTTTTGCAGTTTCTGTAGCTGCATAGCTTATTTTACAAATTATATTACAATAGTAAATACCAAATTATTTCATTTTGCAAAGATAAGGTATGTGAATTGTCTCTTAGTATTGTTATTTTCTGACAGTTATTCTTTCTTGAAATTATACTAAGGTACACTGAAAATACACATTTTATCCAATGCAGAATTGGTTTACACACTGGAATAACTACCAAATGTACAATTAGTAAAACAGGCTTGAAAACACCTTAAAAAAATAAAGTTTTCATTTTCTCTATAGCTAAATTAACTTCTACCTAGTAAGAAAAATGCTTCCTCATTGGACATGCCTATTAAATACCGTTTCAAAAGAGTGTCAGACTAGAGCTTCAGTACATTTACCTGAACTCATCTGTAAGAAAGCTATGTTTGTAGCCTGTACTTTGCAATAATTTAATGTCTGTGTGAATTCTTATATGTATTCCTTTTTGCCCAAATCAGTCAGTGGGTAGAATATTTCTGTTTCTTTCTCTCCATGGTATACATCTTGGTCTCTGTCTCTATTATTTCTTGCCAAATTATTGCACTAACTTTCTAATGAATCTCCCCTTTTCTTCTCTTTCCTTAAATGTGTTGAAAACAGCAGCTAGAATAGTAATTTTAAATCCAAAGTCATATAACTTCACACCTTTGCCAAAGACTCGCCAGAGGCTCCCCAGCTCTCCCAGGATTATAGGCAAAGATCATTAAAAAAAAAAAAGGCCCTGCAGTCTGTACCCGCCTCTTTAGCCTTCCCAATTAATTTCCTAAGGGTCCCTCCCTTATTTATCCCACTGCTCCTTGCTACTTAGCACACCAGTTACACACAGGCCTTAGGGATGTTTCTTCTTTCCATATGGGATGCAATCCCCGAGATACTTGTGTGGCTTCCCTACTCACCACTCCTCTCAGGTCTTAACTTACATACCTTCTTCTCAGACAGTCAGAGGCCATCTTTTACAGTCGAGTAATAAATTGCAGCTCCCCCAAATCCCAGTTTCTCTCTTTTTTTTTTTTTTTTTGAGATGGAATCTTGCTCTGTCGCCCAGGCTGGAGTGCGGTGGGTGGCCTGATCTTGGCTCAGTGCAACCTCTGCCTCCTAGGTTCAAGCAATTCTCCTGCCACAGCCTCCCGAGTAGCTGGGACTACAGCTGTGCTCCACCCCGCCTGGCTAATTTTTGTATTTTTAGTAGAGACGAGGTTTCACCATGTTGGCCAGGCTGATCTCAAACTCTTGACTTTAGGCGATCCGCCTCGGCCTCCTAAAATGCTGGGATTACAGGTGTTAACCACCTCACTCAACCCCAGTCCCTCTTTCTTGCTTTGTTTTACTTCATAATACTTATTATCATCTAGCATACTATATTTTTTACTAATTTTCTTCTTGTCTTTCTCTGCCCATAAGACTAGAAACTCAGTGAAAAGGTTACATTCTCTCCAGTAAAACCATGCCTAACATGAAATAAATGTTTAATTAATATTTGTTGAATGAATAAATTTTCTTTCAGAAATAATTTTTTTACATAAAGGGTAATATTTTCCCCTATATACATGACCTAGGAGCACGGCTGTTGTGATTAGCATACATTTTGCGTGTTCAAGGACTATGATGGAATTGAGCTATTGATGTTAGGATTAATTTACCCAAGAACCTACTATTCCAACCATGCATCAGTTATATCAGTCAACACAGTTTTATTTTAAATCTTATACTTGCAAGGTGCTATGAAGTATGCACAATGCCTACATCAAAGATGTTATATTAAAAATGAGAGGAGCCAATTAAGGATTCTAGGAACTAAATGGTGCTTTGAAAGATGGGTAGAGTTTGTATTGATGGTGGGAGAGAGAGAACACCCAGCAATAAAAATGGCAGAGGTGGAGATGCAGAGCTATATTTGGTAGACTGTGAACAGACTCGCCTGCCTAGAACAGTGTATTCACATTCACATTGGGATTATTAGAGTAAAGTGTGGAAAAGGTATAATGCAGAGGTCTTAATGTGTCAGGCTGCGGAATGTACTTAGTATTCTCTCTCTCATGTGTCTCAAACCAGGGTCCTCATTCACCTGTTGGTACTTGGTAACAAGGATAAAAAGCTTTTCCCTGCTCTGCTAGTTTTACTTTAAATAATGAAGGGAAACTTATAATTAATTCATAAGTCAAGTTTAACATCTCTTTAGTAACTTAAATAGGAAATATGATGCTAAATTTTCTTGAATTTTTAAAATAAGAGATTTCCAAATAATTTGAAGTTATTACTGCTCCTTTGAGATTGTTTTCAAACTCTGACAATCACTGATCATTCTCTCTGCCTTTGGAATTCTTGGAAGAAAAAGTGTGGTTATCACATAAGTATTAGGGAGTCATTACAGGTTGATGCATAGAGGAAGAGAGAGCCATGTTTCTAATCACATTCATACCTGAAATCATTCCATTACCATTCTTTAATATTTTCATTCTGACTTCATTATAGCAACCCTTACTTTATTCTTCTTAAGTTTTATAAGGCCAAATCATGGTTTCATAATATTAAATTAAAAAAAAAAACATGTTCTAGAAAGCAAAAAAATTAAAGGAAAGGTTCATTAGAGGCATTAAGTAAAAGGCAAATGCATTTCTGGCTTATTAAGTTTATTATCTTTCTTTCAATGGAAGTAACTCTGCATGATTTTCTTTATTGGTCTTATTTGAGAAAGAAAAGAATGAAATTCAGTTTCTTAATACAAGCATGATGGCCTGTTAATTAACATAAGAAACCCTGTCTCACATATTAGTAATCTAGGGAACATCAGACTTATTTTTGAAAGGAGTTTTTAAAATAATGTCAAACTTTTTAAAACTCTACAAGTCTGTGATTTGTGTTAATAAGAGAAAAATATATCACAAAATACTGTGAAAAATCAAAATTACAACTAAAACCTAGATCTTTGCACTGGACACACATATAGTCTGGTGGGTAGGAAAGATACTTACATAAATAATACCTTAGAAATCCTTGAAAGCTTCTAACGTATTAATAAAATAGCAGACTCTTAAAGTTAGAATCTCCTACACAGTACAGGGACTATCTGAAATGGTCTTTCATATGGTGGTTATAAACTTTTGTATATGGAACACTTGCTAGATTTCCAGGCATGTAATTCCATTTTATTAAACTTTTGTTCCTCATAATGATGTGATTTAAAAAAAATAATGTACACCTCTTGGCCCTACTTTTAACTTGTACATATAATTAGATGTAACATTCTAAGCTCAACGCTGTGTTCTACATGGTACCCATTAAAATACGAGAAGACATCTATACCATTCCTACTAAGTATTTTCCAGATTAAACATTGTGTAGTCTCTCAATAGTCATTCATGGCAAAGTTTTTTGATGTTTCACTGTATTGATCATCTTTTGTTGAATATACTTGTGCTGAATAGCATCTGCCCTAAAAAGCAGTCCAGTGTATGTATGGTGGAGCTATTGCTACAACTTGACCTTGACACTAATTCTTCCATTTCTATAGCATATGGAAGAATTAGGTAATTTATTTTGTTTTGCTTTGTTTATTTTTCTTATGTTTTAATCTGTGCATTAAGTGGTTTTGATACATTCATATTCTTACAATGTTTAGGAATGTGCTGTTGTTACTGTTTATGTAAGACTTGGGGCATAAGATTTATATATTCCTTACTGACTTATAGACCACTATGTTTTACTAAGACTTGTTCTGTAAGCAAGTCCAATTAAAAATTTTATTTTTTCTTTATTCAGTGTGTTTTCACTATTTCTGCTATTTTAGAAAGATGTTTACAAGATTACATTTTGTTTATTTCAGTGTTTTCACTTTAAAGAGTTCTGTGAGTCAGAATTCATTTTGACTGCCCTCAATAAAATTAGTAATGCAATTGGTCATTTTCTCTTTACAGATTGTTCAGTTCAAGGGAATGAAGAATTCAGAATAATTTTGGTAAATGGATTCCAATATGGGGAATAAGAATAAGCTGAACAGTTGACCTGCTTTGAAGAAACATACTGTCCATTTGTCTAAAATAATCCGTAACAACCAAACCAATCAAAATGAATTCAACATTATTTTCCCAGGTTGAAAACCATTCAGTCCACTCTAATTTCTCAGAGAAGAATGCCCAGCTTTTGGCTTTTGAAAATGATGATTGTCATCTGCCCTTGGCCATGATATTTACCTTAGCTCTTGCTTATGGAGCTGTGATCATTCTTGGTGTCTCTGGAAACCTGGCCTTGATCGTAATCATCCTGAAACAAAAGGAGATGAGAAATGTTACCAACATCCTGATTGTGAACCTTTCCTTCTCAGACTTGCTTGTCGCCATCATGTGTCTCCCCTTTACATTTGTCTACACATTAATGGACCACTGGGTCTTTGGTGAGGCAATGTGTAAGTTGAATCCTTTTGTGCAATGTGTTTCAATCACTGTGTCCATTTTCTCTCTGGTTCTCATTGCTGTGGAACGACATCAGCTGATAATCAACCCTCGAGGGTGGAGACCAAATAATAGACATGCTTATGTAGGTATTGCTGTGATTTGGGTCCTTGCTGTGGCTTCTTCTCTGCCTTTCCTGATCTACCAAGTAATGACTGATGAGCCGTTCCAAAATGTAACACTTGATGCGTACAAAGACAAATACGTGTGCTTTGATCAATTTCCATCGGACTCTCATAGGTTGTCTTATACCACTCTCCTCTTGGTGCTGCAGTATTTTGGTCCACTTTGTTTTATATTTATTTGCTACTTCAAGGTAAGAAAACTTTTTTTTCTATCATTTTCATTTTTTACCTTCTTTACACAGAATTCCTCATCAAATGAGTGTTTCTATTTAAATTTGTTTTTCTTCTGTAGATATATATACGCTTAAAAAGGAGAAACAACATGATGGACAAGATGAGAGACAATAAGTACAGGTCCAGTGAAACCAAAAGAATCAATATCATGCTGCTCTCCATTGTGGTAGCATTTGCAGTCTGCTGGCTACCTCTTACCATCTTTAACACTGTGTTTGATTGGAATCATCAGATCATTGCTACCTGCAACCACAATCTGTTATTCCTGCTCTGCCACCTCACAGCAATGATATCCACTTGTGTCAACCCCATATTTTATGGATTCCTGAACAAAAACTTCCAGAGAGACTTGCAGTTCTTCTTTAACTTTTGTGATTTCCGGTCTCGGGATGATGATTATGAAACAATAGCCATGTCCACCATGCACACGGATGTTTCCAAGACTTCTTTGAAGCAAGCAAGCCCAGTCGCATTTAAAAAAATCAACAATGATGATAACGAAAGAATCTGAAACTACGTATAGCCTATGGTCCCAGATGACGTCTGTTTAAAAACAAGCACAACCTGCAACATACTTTGACTACCTGTTCTCCCAAGGAATGGGGTTGAAATCATTTGAAAATGACTAAGATTTTCTTGTCTTGCTTTTTACTGCTTTTGTTGTAGTTGTCATAATTACATTTGGAACAAAAGGTGTGGACTTTGGGGTCTTCTGGAAATAGTTTTGACTAGACATCTTTGAAGTGCTTTTTGTGAATTTATGCATATATTATAAAGACTTTTATATTGTACTTATTGGAATGAAATTTCTTTAAAGTATTACTATTAACCGACTTCAGAAGTACTTGCCATCCAATACTGTCATTAGATTGGGTCATCTTGATTAGATTAGATTAGACTGTCAATAGATTGGGCCGTCCTTATTTTAAGATAGGCATCATTTTAGTGTGTTACAGTAGTAACAGTATGCAAAAGCAGCATTCAGGAGCCAAAGGAGGGTCTGAAGTCAGTCAGAAGTGGTTTGAGGTTTCTGATTTTTGGTGTTTTTTTTTTTTTTTTTCACCTTAAGGGAGGATTTAATTTGCTCCCAATTGATTGTCACTTAAATGAAAATTTAAAAATGAATAAAAATACATACTTCTCGGCTGCAAATATTACAGGGAATTGGGGCACCCACAAGAATGAAGAGAGAAAGCAGCTCCCTAACTTCAAAACTATTTTGGTACCTGACAACAAGAGCATTTCAGAGTAATTAATAAAGTAAATTAGTATTTTGCAAATAGTTAAATTATATTCATTTGAATTGATGGTCAAGAGATTTTCCTTTTTTTTAACAGACTGTTCAGTGTTTGTCAAGCTTTCTGGCATAAATATGTACTCAAAAGGCATTTCCACTTACAATATATAGAAACACAAAAGGTGTTTTCCTTACAGCAGTGCCTATATAGTGACTGATTTTTAACTTTCAATGTCCATCTTTCAAAGGAGATAACACCAAGTACAATGTTAAAAGAATATTCACTTCACCTAGCAGGGAAAAAATACACAAAAAATGAGAATACTTCATATAGCCCATTTTAACATGTATAAACTGTGTGACTTGTGGCGTCTTATAAATAATGCACTGTAAAGATTACTGATAGTTGTGTTATGTTAATGTGCCTAATTTCATGTATCTTGTAATCATGATTGAGCCTCAGAATCATTTGGAGAAACTATATTTTAAAGAACAAGACATACTTCAATGTATTATACAGATAAAGTATTAAATGTGTTTGATTTTAAAAGGGCAGACATTTTATTAAAATCAATATTGTTTTTGCTTTTTCTGAGGAGTCTCTTTCAGTTTCATTTTTTCTCATCCCATGACTTCCCTCCCATGATGTTCCCAAAGCATCCTGTATCTGCTTGCTAATGAAACATAACCACTGATGTGATATAACCATCGATGGCTATACAATGGTTATAACCATTGATGTAGTATAGCCATTAATGGCTCAGTCTCCCTCTCTTGCTAGATCGTAAGCTTCTTTAAGGCAAGAATTGTTTAACATGACTGTCCCCAGTGCATATAGCACAGTGCAAAGACTTAGAAGCATTTTCAAAATATATTTCCAAAACAAATGATTAATGACCAAGTTTCCTTCCTTCTTGTTGATAATCATGTTGAACTCATGTCCTGCAGTGTTCTTGGATCCTTCCTCCTAAGTTAATCTTTGCCAAGAAGATGTTTTCTCTTTTATTGTATTATTTTCATTTCTAAACTAAGCAAAAGGGCATTTTAGATTTTAGAAATTTGCATTATCAGTCCTGTAACTCAAACAAATATCACACTTTTTACATTGAATGGTAACATGAAATCAAATTATAGCTTAAGAATGTCCTTTAGTTAACCAAATTAAAAAAAAAAACAAAACTCCGCTGGGCACAGTGGCTCACACCTGTAATCCCAGCACTTTGGGAGGCTGAGACGGGTGGATCACGAGGTCAGGAGTTCAAGACAACCCTGTCCAATATGGTGAAAACATGTATCTACTAAAAATACAAAATTTGGCCAGGTGTAGTGGCATACGCCTGTAGTCCCAGCTACTTGGGAGGCTGAGGCAGGAGAATCACTTGAACCCAGGAGGCAGAGGTTGCAGTGAGCTGAGATCATGCCACTACACTCCAGCTTGGGCAACAGAGTGAGACTCCATCTCAAAAAAATAAAATTATAAAATTACCTTTTAATACTTATTAGAAAATATAATTTTTCCTTACCCAAGCCTGAATTTTTGAACGACTTGATGATTTTTCTGCTTTTGGGGAAAATGGGAATTTATTTCTTTCTCTGTCTAGGTAATATGGAAACAAGTTGTTACTTGGGAAGAATCTTAATAAATAAGTGCTTCTTTGTCATACATTTGCTGAAAAGGCCATTTCTAGAATTTTCATTCAGCTGTGTAAGCTGCCGACTCCTTGAGTTCACATGAATAACGAACCAAACATCAAATTCTTCTTTTGTCCAAATATATTGATGAGCTACTAGTAAAGTCAAGGGTCAGCAACAGATGCATTGCAGTTCAAGAAGAAAAAAAAAGGCCATATTAAGCATGAACTGTGGAACGAACCACTAGGTTTTCTTAAACCCAAGAACAAAAAAATTAAGTTAGTAGAAGAGTATAATTATAATATGGCTTATATGAATTTTAAGTAAATTGATAATAGCTAGAATATTGAAACTAGTATGTGCCAAGTACTGTGTCAGGTACTTAAGTACCTGTGAGGACCAATGTTATTGCCACTTCACATAAGAAGAGACTGAAGCTCCAGTTGAAATATCTGTATGAGAAACACATTGAATAATAGGTAGAGCAGGAATCAAACCCAAGTCTGTCCAACGCTACTAAAATAATGACTGAACTATACCTGCAACAGTTTAGAAAAGAATTTTCTTCTCTCTTTACAAGTTACAATCTTAGGGCGTAACACTGCCATCTACCTTCTTTCTGATTTTAGCTGCAGAAGGAATGGAGTGAAGTAGAAGAGTTGAGAGAAAATGGTCATTTTGATTATATGTACCCATTATCTCCCTTTCTGAATTAAACAATTCTGCTGAAAAATAGAATTTCGTTATTTGCATTAATTTTATTTCTGTACTGTTAACTTTATTCTCTTATTTCGTGTTACATATTCCAAGAAAATGTAGGCACATATTATACTGAAATTTATCCCACAAATTCTCAAGGAAATATAAATACATACTGTAATTTCAAATGTTGACAGTCAAATAGAGACTTTGACAATTTAAATATCTACACAATAATAGTGGTGGAAAGAGGCAGTTTAAGCTGGGGCTTCAGGAATGTCTGGCCTTGTGTCGTTACTGCAATTCAGAGTTTATGGGCACTGCTAAGTGTTTGATCACACCAGGGTTGCTTTCCTCAGCAATCAAGGATTGTGCTGGAATTAAGGTAGTTTCTCAATGAGTCTTGAATTCTTTGATAGTCTCCATATTTTCTTTGTCTACTTATTGCCATCGTCCATCAAACAACATGTTGGACTTAAGTGTCTGAGCAGGTGAGAGCAGCTGGTGAGAATGAGAACATGACTTACCAGGGCAAATTAGTAAGATTTCTCAAATTGTGTTTATTCCATGATTCGTTTATTAATGTATTTTTGTGTACACGTGTGTGTGCACAGGCCGCACATTATGTGGCTAAGAATATATATATTTGTATATATAGATATATGGCCTATATAATTCTACAGTGAGTTTGTTTTCATTGCTCTTCATTTCTTGATCTCTTATCAAAGCTATTATATCTGTAGTGCTTATCACAAACTACCCTACGAAGTAGTACTTTTGTTTTTCTCATTTCACAGATAAGGAAATTCAGGCATGAGAGATATATAACTTGCCCAGTGTCACTCAGCTAGTAAATGATAGGACTAGGATTCAAATTCAGGCAGTTTGGTTCCTGAGTCTTAATATAACAATAAGTTTTTAACCAGCACACACTAAAACTCTTCCCCACACGCCAGCCTCTGCCTGAATTCCTCAACCTCTGTGTCTCGTATCTTTCCATTACTGGATCCACATATGACCCCATCTGCAGGCCAGGTCTGTTCTGAGCCTTAATAATTTCAAAAAAATAAGAGATGTTTTTAAGGTCACCCTCTGAGATCTAAGACAAACTTCTAATCATGGTTGTTTAGACACAGTTGCAGAATTGAGACACAAATCTGTTCCATCCAAAAGTTATCACTGCAAAGCGGCAGGTCTTTATTTTCTCTGTCATTTTGGTTTACACATCCTTATTCTTCTAGTTTCCAAGTCAATGCCAGAGTCATCTTCTGGGAGCATTTTCCCAGTAAATGGCTGGGGCTTTGAAACCTGACTAGTTTTGATCAACTTTCTCTCCTTTGGAGTCTAGAGTATTACTTTACACGGGCCCATATTCTAGCCCACAGACTAGAAAAACATCTATGAATTCAGTTTTAGAATAAACATTGCTGCCTATCTGACTTCTAAATATTGAATATTATCTGGGAGATAACATAAAGGGCTATCAGTTGAAATTGTTGACTAATGGTGAACACTATTTTATTCAAGTCAAAAAACATACTGAAGCAAAGTAATTGATGAAATGACACTACGGCCCTGTCACCTAACAGCATTATATTGTGGTCTGTGCTTTTTGACATAGCATTTAAATACATTTTATTATAGGACTACTTTTGTCCTAAATAGCATTTCTCAAGCATCTTTTTATTTTGTCATCGGGAGTGAAAATTGTAAATGTTATTTGTATTTCTGGCTAATCTGTTCTATGATTTTATTATTGAGATTCAATTGGCATACTAAAAAGTGACATGCATTCACTTTTTAAAAGTATATAATTCAGTAGTTTTTAGAATATTAACAGAGTTGTCAAATCATCATCCCTATCTAGCTCCAGAGAATTTTCACTACTCCAAAAAAAAAATTCCAAGTTTTGGTTTCTGGTCTCATATGTAAGGGGCTTGGAAGTTGTCACTTTATCCTAACAAGCAAAAACCTGAACAAACTGAAAAATCAACAACTCTTCTTAGATCTTTCAGAAAAGTGAGCTCAGAAGGAAAATCTGCTGCCCCCAAAATTAGAGAGACAGACCAATATAAAAAAAAAAAAATCACAATTCACTGTAGCAGAAATCCCTAAGAAGAAACCTCCATTGGAACCAACCAGTGCCTGAGTAGGAGACCTGAGTGGTTCCTACAATAGGACAAGTGTGAGCATTAAAAACTCCCAGGGAAACCAGTCATAGGGAGATCCCCCCACTTTTGTGAGTTTTACCCCTAGGAGTTCAACTACATTATCACAATGGATATTGGAGAAAAATTCCATGTGCTTCTGGCAGGGAGAGGAGAAAAGAAACCAATTCTCTGAAATAGACCAAAGCATTCTGCTCTTCCTAACAGGTCTGCCCTCTAGAGACACTATTTTACTATAGTGTAAGCTGTTACAGTTTTATTAGCACTTAAGTGACCTGGCAGAAGAGAAATATCCAATTCCTGCCTCCTGTAGTCATCCTGTTTCACTTTGTGAGAGAGAACACTGAGAAGCGCTTCTGAAATTCTCAGTACAAAGGCTTACTAAAAGACTGAGGACAAATCTTAGTTCTATAGAATGCTTTCCCATCCTCAATACCTTCCCACTACATTACTAAAAGCCTTTCTGTAGCAAGTCTATTCCCCAGCACCTCATATCCAGCCATCAAGGAAAAATTACAAGGCATACTAAAAGACAGAAAAGCACAGTTTGAGGAGACAGCAAGCATCAGAACCAGACTAAGATATGGTAGGGATATTGGAACTATCAGACCAATACTTTGAAACAACTATAATTCACATGCTAAGGGCTCAGATGGATAAAGTGGATAGCATGCAAGAACAGATGGACAATGCAAGCAGACAGATGAAAATTCTAAGAATAAAAAAGAAATAGTAGAGAGCAAAAACACAAACAGACATGAAGAATGCTTTTCATGCTCATTGGTGGAATGGACATGGCTGAGAAAGAGTATCTGAGCTTGGACATATGGCATGGAAATACCTAACAGGAAAGCAAAGAGAAAGAAAATTGTGAAAAGAACAAATATCTAAGAACTGCAGTTCACCTATAAAAAGTATAACATAAGCAAAATGGGAATATGAGAAGGAAAAGAGAGTAAAGAACAGAAGAAATATTTGAAGCAATAACAATAAGGAATTTCTCAAATTAATAACAGATACCAAACCATAGACCCAGAAACTCAGAGAACACAAGATAAATATTTAAAAAGCTATATATAGACATATCATTTCACATT